AACAGCCCTGTGAGGTAGATTGGGCTGAGAGTCTGTGACTGCTCCAAAGTCTATCACTGTTGAAACTATTGATATGCCCACTGGTATAGCTGAAAATACCAGGGATGGAAATCCCTATCTGGATGGGGATAGGCTGGTTCCAGTAGTCTACACTCCAGTAATAGCTAAATCAGATTACTAAATTACGGCAATGCCCTTGCAGTGATACGTGGGGCTGCCCTTTAAGATGGCTCAGAAGCTTCAGCAGCCAGATTAATCACTGGGACCCAGAGATCTGAGCATATAAGACCTGCCTGGATGCTTCAGGACCCGAGTCAAGGTGCTGGTTTTAACCTATAAAGCCCTGCATGGCTTGGGACTACAGTACCTGTCACAGAACCTACTCAGATGCTATGCATCTGGGACCTTCCTTCAAGTGCCAACTCCAAGGGAGGGTCAGGGATGGAATCAACCATTTTCTGTGGTGGCCAACCATTTATGGAACAACCCCCCTACCTGTGCATTGCTTAATCTATCTTTAAAGAAAATAAAAAGAAAATGCAAGGGCTATACTGAGAAAGCCTCAGCTATTAGGCGATATACAAATGAAATAAATGCATTTCCCTGCACACATCCCCTTTCCAACTCCTCCAGCAATTGCATCTGTGTATGACACAAGGTTACATATTCAAGACAGTGATTTTTTGCTGCATTTATTATTGGAGGGCCCAACAGCGGTAAATGTATTTTCCATAAATACCATGGCAGCAGTCTTTGATTCACAGAAGGAGCCCTTCTTCCCTTGCCCCTTTAAACAGACATGCAGGAGCTCAGCAGAGCAAGCTGTGCCTGCTAAAACCGCCCTTCTACATAGCTATTTGGGCATCAGAACTCCCTCTTGTGTAATAGCCTTCCATAACCTGGTGTCCTCTGGATATTTTGGACTACAACTCCCAGCATTCCTGATCATTTACTGGACCACTGATTCCCACGATGATGCATCTTTTCCAAAGGTTTGATTTAGGGTCTTTTGGAGCAGCATCTCAGCCAGCCAATTGTTCTGATTACATGGATACGTTTTTTGCTTGCTTGTTTGCCTTTGTTTCTTAAAGCGTCATGAAATCTAGGCTCCCTCACAAGGGCATGGAAGTCTTTTGTTGTGTAGTGAGTGCCGAGATGAGGGATGAGTCACACCACAAAACTGGTTTCATCTGAGGGTTCAAGTAAGCCTTGTCGTGATGAGCCGAAGAGAGAAAAGAGCCCCTGCCCAGGCGACCCTCTCCCTGTGGCAATGGGGTACATGATGCCTCCATGCCCATGTCTGCACCCTCTGCCAGCCTTTCCAGATAAAGGTCTTTAGGGTAGTCCTCACTAATCTAGCCTCTGCACCTGGCCAGCTGTCTTCTGGAGAAGCTCTCTTTGCATTCGCCTTATCTGCACGGGTTCAGGGGGCAATAACTTTTTAAAAATTCTCTTCTGCAAAATGCGGTATGCAGCCATAGATCATTCAGCATGAGTGAAATCAGGAAGTTGTCATTGTTTCCAGTACAGGCTGCACGGAGTGGAAATCCTACCGCAACAGGCCACAGGTTGTTGTTGAGGAATGAAGCAGAGACCACATTGAGCTTGGAAGGGCCTGTCTCAGCGTTGTCTTGTACAAAGATGAATGGCTTCCTCTCTGTACTAGTCTCTAGTGGCTTTCCCACCACCACTGGCTCCTGCTCAGCCCGGCTGCTATTTTTTCCAGCAGTACGGCATTTCTAGCTTGCTAATGCTTAAACAAGATTCATCCCCACCTCCTCTGAAATCCTTCTGCTTTTTGGGTGCAGGACCATTAGATCAGAGGTGCTGAGCCTCTTTCAGTGTGGGGCCAAAGTCCACTTGGAGACTCTCTCAATGGGGAGCAAGGCTTAAGGCAAAAGCAGTGGTGCCACAATAACAGCAAATCTTAGCTTCAAGCTCTCATTGCCAGTCATTAAGCTGTTAGACCAGGGGTCTCAAACTCGCGGCCCGCGGGCCAATTGCCGGGCCGGGCGGGGCACAGGGGAGGGCCCTGCGGCCTTCAAAGCGCCGGCGGCGCCCGGGCCGGCAGCGGGATGAGCGGCCCACCACCACCGCGGTGGTGGGATACTTGATGCGGCCCAGCCTCACCCAGACTCTACTTCCAGCAGCGCCCAGGTAAGTTGAGTTTGAGACCCCTGCGTTAGAGTGACATTTCAACCTTATAGAAATGGGAGGGAGCAGAACTCACAAAAGTCAGGGAACAACCAAGGGGGAAAGGCACACAGCCGGCTGAGGGCCCCGGGCCGGTGGGGCAGATTTTGACCTGGGCCTGAGGTTCTGCACCTCTACATCAGAAGAATCTATGGACTTCACACACAGGGATTGATAATGGAGCTCATTTCCCTTTCGTGTGTCTGGGCCCAATGGCCTCTACAGCAGGGTTCTCATTTCATCTCACAGGCTGAAGTAGGTCTATCTGAGACCTCACACAACAGCAGGTACCAACATCTAGATACAGAAGCCGAAACCTGATATTGCTGTCTGACCGTTTGCCACATGGTGGAACAATATCCATGGTTCTTGTGCTTTGGTGAGCCATCAGTCCATGGGATCTGCTCATTTTCCCATCAGGTGTCAGTGCAACAGACATTGGGAAGACAGAGAGAGATAAAGAAAGCCTATGTGGGGCAGTGGATAGAGTGCTGGATTAGGGGGCAGAAAATCTTGAGTTCTAGTCCCCCCTTGGGCCTGAAGCTCCCTGGGTGACTTTGGGCCAGTCACTGATGCTCAGCCCAGCCTACCTCACAGGGTATTTTGAGGGTAAAATAGAGATGTGTAATCTGCCTTGTGCTGCTCACAGGAAGAAAAGGTCACATATAGTTCTGGAACCTTCTGCAGGTTTCCAAGTTTAATTTAAGGAAGAGATTTGTATGACGCCTTTTGAGGATACTCAAGGATTGCATTCCATCTGCCTTTCCAAGAGAACCATCTTAGCACCCTTCCTGGACTAATGCACAATTCAGAAGAATGCAGTTACCCTTCATTTCTGCACAATTCTGAACTTTACAGTGCTGTTTTCAGCTCAACAACAAAACAAAACGGGTATAAAATCTATATTGTGTATTAAAATGTGTAAATGCCTATGGGGGAGGGAAATAGTTTAAAACAATTAATTTTCATGTGTGTTTTTCCCAATAAAGAATGTACTGATTGAATCTGAACCCTAAGACTGATCCCTGCTGTTTCATTCAGATTCACTCTTGTGAAACTGTCTCAGAGCAGAAATTGATGCCTTAGTCTAACCCTTCCATTTAGGATCTCCAAAAACAAAACAACCTAAAAGGTCATTTTAATGACAACAACCCTAAAATGGTAACCAAAATTAAAAAGTCTACCTTGAATCGAGATCAGACTACAATCCAGCTGCTGTGCAGACCATTCCTTCGAGGAGTCGTAGCACCGGCATGCTCCCTCACCTGTTCCAGGGCATCTGTGTTGGCAGCATAGCCATAGGAAGCAAGTCCATTTGGCCTTTGCAGCTGTCACGTGCGCAGCTTTGGGCACGTCCCCCTGCCCATCTGAAAAACAAAACGGGGGACTGCATGACTGGTACCAGCTGCTCGGTGTGTGTGGCTGCTGGCTGTTTCTGCTCAGAGTTGTCCCACCATAGCTCAGGACAGAAGCCCAGTGTTGTGCGCGCATGTTTGGATGAGATTCCCAGGCGTGCATGAGAGATGGAGGGCTTCAGTGGGGATGGCAGCTCAGACTCAGAGGAGGGGGAGTGGGTAGCTGAACCAGCCGTGGCTCAGAGTTCTCACTCTGATATTGGAGTTGTTGAGATGAGTGAGGCCTCGGCTGCCCAAACTCTCCCAGTGTGCCAGCCAGAGCCAGCTCTGGATCAAAGCACTCCAAGGACAACTACTGAGAACCCCCCCCCCCCACACTGTGGGAAAGGAGCCGGTGGGGAGCAGGCTGGGGAGGGGTTCTCAGGAGGAGAGCTGAACACCCCTGGAGATGTGGATGCAAGGGCCGGTTGACACGCTCGCTGGCTGGTCAATTAGGGGCTCAATGGGAAGAGCGTCGGCATGCCTGCTTCCATAGTGCTCCCCCCTCCAGAGACCGGCCCTGAAGGATTCATAAACAAAGCTTTGGGAGAAAGGGGGCAGAGCGAGGGGTCGACTTCCTACCAGGAGTGTGTATTTTGAGGCTTGTGAATATGTTGTTTCTGTATGGAATAAAGACTCTTTTAATAATTGCTTTAGTGCCTGTCTCGTTTGGGAGGGGACACTTAGCTCACGACACCCACCCCAGCACATGCCTTGGCTGCAGTAGCTGGAAGGCTCGCTACCCAGCATCCCCAGAGAAATGGGCAAGTAGCAGGTGATCTCTTCTGGAGAGCCACTGCCAAGAAGAGTAGGCAAGACTGTGCTGAGGGACCAGCAGTTTCCTACATTCCTTGTGGGAGGAAGATACCCTTGCTTTTTCCCATGGTGACTGCTGAGCTTCCAGTTGCTCACTGCAAGGGCCAAGCAGGTGGATCTGATTTGCAGACCTGCGCTCATACTCATTTAGGCAAGTTTCTAGTCCTGCATGTCACTGTCAACTGTAACTTGATGCAAAAGCCCCTAAAATTTTGCAGCGGACCCAGTATTATCATGTGTCATCTTGAGCCCAGCAGAGGTTTCGTTTCTTCAGATGTGAAAGAAACTGTACAGAAATGAGATTGCAGTGCAGCGATTCTCCCATTGGATGCAGGCTCCTGGGAGAAAGAGAAGCAGCAGCAGCAGCTCCCTCCTTTCTCTTGAGATCAGTTCATCTCTTTTTAGGAAACTGTCTTTATTTGTGGTAAACAGGGCAGGAAAAAAGACTACTGGCTGCCTCTGGCCGGGTTGGTGGTTGGGTGTTTTTCTTTCTCCCTTCCCCTGTCAGTTTACTGCAAGATTCCACAGGAGGTGCAAGCGAACTTCTCAAAGTTTCGCTTGCGATGGCTGTCATGAACTGCGGTAGCAAGATCGGAACGAGGCCAGGCTCGGTCTGCTTTCCTTATCACTAACTGGGAGCGGAATATGGACAGGCACTGCAAATGGTGAGGCTCCTGAAATGAACATGTGTGGCTTTCAAAAGTGGCTTTCCTCCTCCCCAGGCAGGAAGAAGGTGACTCACTGAATCTCGATCTCTTCTCCCTCCCTCCCTGCTTTAGGTGGCTGTGTGTGCCGGGGCGAAGAAAGCGGAGCGACCCAAGTTCTTGACAGGTAAGATGGCTCTTCTTGCCGCCTCATCACCTCACCAGGTCTACATTTAAAATGCAGGGGCTTGGAGTGTCTGAGCACTGAGTGGTCGCTGGGCTTCTTAATGGATTATCTGTGCAGAGAGGGGGACGAGAATTGTAGGTGAGATGGCTCAGCAGCTCTTCCTGCCTCAAATGCTTTTGCTCCTTGCCCCTGCGGAAAGCTATCCTGTACACGTGGGAAGGAGCACGTCGAGCGGCATACTTGCCAGCTAGTCTTGCGAAAGCTTTTCAGCACCAGTCTTGCTGAGCTTGGGTGTGCTTTCTTGCCTTCTCCATACCAGTTTGCTGCCCGTTTTTGCTCCAGGCTTTCAGTGGGATCTGTTCAAGAGAACATCCCAGGCCACTGACCTGCTTATAAGGCCAGCATTTCTCAACCAGGTGTGGTTGGACCGGGAAGGGCCCAACTGCATCCCTCCCAGCCAGCATGGCCCATGGGAGTTGTAGTCCAAGTCATCTTGCGTGGTGCCAGGTGTCATGCCAAGGTAATCTTGGGGAGCAATGCACCTCAAGAGGAGTTGCTTGCCCTCCAGAAGGCTTCAAAGGTGTGAGGATCTTTTGCTGGGGTTTAAGGTGCATGGCTGAGAGAGCAAGCCCTGGTTTTGCGTTCACACAAACATGGAGCATTTAGAAAGGAGAGGAAAGTTCATTCATCAGGAAAACATAGAGCAGGCACCTGATGTTGTGCGGACAGCAAATATTCCTGTTGCATCACCGTCATACTCTATATTTCTAAAGAGAGAAATAGCTTCCTGCATAACAGAGGGAGATTAATGGGTGTGGGGGTCGGGGGGGGGGGGTCCCATTACCTGTCCTGCAGCAGTAGAGCTGGAGTTCAGAGCCCGCTTGCAGAGGAGGGAGGGAGAGACTCTCCCTTCCCAGCCCCTGATTTTTATACTATTTCTCCCTGAGCATGTGTCTATGGGAAAGAGGATTTCAGGCTTATGCTAATTGCGGGACAGGGTGCTTCATTCCTTCTTGATGACCTTCATTACTGTTTCTCTCAGGAAGACATGAATTCTTCCTCTGTGTTTGCTAGGTGCTATAGATAAGGTAATTTCCAGGTGTCTCAAGGCAATGGGTCGGCCACTCTGCAGGGCTGCCTAATCTCTTTAAGAGGGAGAAATGCCTGACCTTTTGTCCACAAGAATTCCAGCCTTCATTCGTATCTCACAGGATGCTAGGTCCTTCTTCTGTAATTCAAACCTCCCCACATGGCCTTTTGCCCATGGCCCAAAAGCCTGTTCTGGCCTGGGAGCTTATGTCTGTGGCACCAACCATGATATATACACACATTAAACAGGTTAAAGAAGGCTGCTGTAGATACCATTGAAAGATGTCCATAAAGATTTGCTGAGGGGAAAAGGAACAGGTGGTCAAACATGGTTAGATTTTTGTATTAAGATTCAGCAGGCAGGACAATTGAAAGCCACCTGGTGATTGAATTTTATTACCTTTAGGGAGGCTTATGCTCAGTCAGATGTGACTATATCCTGCTTTCAGCCTTCAAAGGTCTGTGGTGAGGAGCACTCTATTGCTAAGAGCTGAGAATAGGCTGAGGAATAGTGGATTCTTTTGCTTCTGTTCATTTAGGAAGCAACAAAGGGCGAGCCGTTGGAGGACGGGTGGAGTGCCACTATGAGCAATGTTGGAAAGCCAGCAGGACCTGGATCAGCCCTGGATCCAACTGAGCTGCCGAAAAGAAAGAGGGGGCGGCCAAGGAAGCAGCCGCAGGTAAATGAATGTGCAATGAATGTAGCCTTGCCACTTTCTTTCTTTCCACTATATAAAGATTTCTGAGAATACCAATGGCCATTCATTGGCCATAATGAGAGTGGTGTTGAATGATTAAGAATGTGACACTCAAACTGCTTAGGAAATGCCTGATAATTCATAGAATCATAGAGTCATAGTATCATAGAATATTAGAGTTGGAAGGGGCCACCAAGGCCATTGGACCCAACCCCCTGCTGTTGCAGGACACCAATTTACACCAACCCACTCAGAAACTGGCTGTCCAGTTTCTTTCTGTATGTCTCTAGTGTGGGAGAGCCAACCACCTCTCTAAGCAGCTGGTTCCACTGTCGCATTGCTCTGACAGTGAGGAAACTTTTCCTGATATCTAGCCTGAATCTGGGTTGTCGCAACTTGAACTGATTATTCCATGTCCTACACTCTGGTATCAGTGATAACAGATCCTGACCTTCCTCTTTATGACAGCCTTTGAGGTACTTATAGAGGGATATCATGTCCCCCCTCAGTTTTCCCTTCTCAAGACTGAACATGCCCAGTTCTCGCAGTCTTTCCTCAAAGGGCAGAGTTTCCAAACCCAAATCCAGCTTTGGGGACATCAGATCCTATGTACACATGCCATGTTACATCTGTAGCAGGACCTTCGGTCCAAAATCCAGGGCTTGGTAGTCCGAGGGCCTCCAAAATAATGACCCAAATTTAGAATGCAAAAATGCACATGTTCAGTCTCTGTATGTGTGTTTGTCACAGGACTGAAAATGTTTTTATGTTGTTCTTACATACTGGGAATGTAGAAGCATCAGCCAAGCATGGAATAGTGGTTGGACAAAGTTCTCACTTTTATGTTTTATTTATTTATTTAAACCATTTCTATGCCGCCCCATTTGCAAAAAGCCTCGGGGCGGCTTACAACATAAATAAACAATTATATAATTAGCCTTAAAAATCCGGAAACATCTTGGCACGTACATAAAAACCCAATAAATACAATCAATAGATTAATTTTTAAATAAAAAGGTCTTGGCCTGGTGCCGAAAAACAATGATGGCGCCAGGCAGACCTCTCTGGGGAGCACATTCCATAGGTGGGGCGCCACTGCAGAGAAAGCCCTCCTCCGAGTACTCACCCTCCTAATATCTTTCACGGAGGGTTCCCGGAGAAGGGCCTCTGCTGCCGATCTCAAGGGGTGGGAGGGCATATATGGACGCCAGCACTCCTTTAGATAACCAGGTCCCAAGCCGTTGAGGGCTTTATAGGTGATAACCAACACCTTGAATTGGGCTCGGACTTCAATGGGAAGCCAGTGAAGCTGACGGAGGACTGGGGTTATATGAGAACAACGCCCTGTCCCCGTCAGCAACCTGGCAGCTCTGTTTTGCACCAATTGAAGTATCCGGACCATCTTCAAGGGTAGCCCCACATAGAGCGAGTTACAGAAGTCTAATCGGGAAGTTACCAGTACATGTGTCACTGTCGTCAGGCAATCATTCTCCAGGCAGGGACGCAGCTGATGGATCAGCCGAAGCTGAAGGAAAGCGCTCCTCGCCACCGCCATCACCTGAGCTTCTAATGACAGCTCTGAGTTGAACCTTGTCTCTAAGAGGGAGTGCAACCCCATTTAGGACAAGGTCCAGGTCCCCAAGTCCGAACCACCTACCAACAGAACCTCCGTCTTGTCTGGATTGAGCTTCAGTTTATTGGCCCTCATCCAGCCCATTACCTTGGCCAGGCACCGGTTCAGTACAGCCACTGCCTCACCTGGATTGGTGGAAAACGAGAGGTAGAGCTGGGTATCATCAGCGCACTGATGATTCCGCAGCCCACACCTCCTAATGACCTCTCCCAGCAGTTTCATGTAGATGTTGAATAGCAAGGGGGACAAAATGGACCCCTGTGGAACTCCATGGCATAACTGCCATGGCGCAGAGCCATAGTCCCCCAGCACCACCTTCTGAAATTGGCCATTGAGATAGGAGTGGAACCACCGCCACGTGGTGCCTCCAACTCCCAATCCCGCTAGCCTATCCAGAAGGATACCATGGTTGATGGTATCGAAAGCCACTGAGAGGTCCAGGAGAACCAACAGGGACGCACTTCCCATCTCTCTCCCTGCACAGGTCATCATACAGGGTGACCAAGGCAGATTCAGTACCATACCCGGGTCTGAAGCCAGACTGAAATGGGTCCAGATAGTTAGTTTCATCCAAGAGTGCTTGGAGTTGTCCTGCCACCACCCACTCTAACACGTTGCCCCAGAATGGGATGTTGGCCACCGGTCTATAATTGGCAGCCGTCTCTAGATCCAGGGATGCCTTCTTTAGGACTGGCCGGACTACCGCCTCCTTTAAAGGGACAGGTACCCGGCCGTCCCTTAGAGAGGTGTTGACAACCTCCAGGATCCAGGCCCCTATCCCGTGCTTGGCTTTGTTAAGTAGCCAAGTTGGGCAAGGGTCCAGTAAGCAGGTGGTGGGACGTACTTGTCCAAGCACCTTGTCCACATCATCAGGCCGCAACAACTGAAACTCATCCATCAATTTTGGACCAGACGGCAACATTGGCACCTCCCCAGAAGGTTCTGAGTCACTAGTGGAGTCCAGCTCGTGACAAATCTGAGCGATTTTCTCCTTGAAATGCTTGGCAAAGTCATCACAGCGGGCCGTCAAGGGTGGCACGAGGTCTTTTTTGGGGCCTCGGTGAACCAGCCCCTGTACCACCCGAAAGAGCTCCGCCGGACAGCATTGTGAGGAGGCAATGGAAGCAGAGATAGGTCCGATAATGGGCTCTTAAGTGTGTTCGGTCAGATTCATCCTGTGATTTCCTCCACCTACGCTCTAGACGTCTCCCAACCCGCTTCATCGCCCATAATTCAGGTGTATACCAGGGGGATGAACGGGCTCTGCCAGGCGGGAGAGGACACTTAGGGGCAATCGTGTCAGTTGCTCTGGCCATTTCCCCATTCCACAGTTCAACCAGAGCATCAACAGGAACACCAGCTTTATCAACCAGAAAATCCCCCAGAGCCTTCAGGAATCCATCTGGATCCATCCGGCTCCAAGGGCGGACCATCACAACAGAGTCCGCACCCTTACAGAGTGAAAGGTCGCTCTCAAGCTCAAACCTCACGAGGAAGTGATCTGACCATGAAAGGGATGTCAGACACAAGTTCCTCACCCTCAGATCCCCCTCTTCCTGTCCCGTCGAGAAAACCAGGTCCAGAGTGCGTCCACGTTCATGGGTCAGGCCAGTGACATGTTGAGACAGCCCCATGGGCATCATGGAGGCCATGAAGTCCTGAGCCGCCCCGGTCAGAACAGTCTCAGCATGGAGATTGAAGTCCCCCAGGACCAGCATCCTGGGAGTCCTCAACACCAAGTCCTCAACGATCTCCGTCAGCTCAGGCAGGGAGTCTGTTGGGCAGAAGGGTGCACGGTACACCAACAGAATCCCCAATCTGTCTCAGTCGCCCAACACCATGTAGAGGCACTCTAGACCTGGCCTTGAGAGAACAGGAAGCCCCGTGAGGGAAATAGAGGCTCGGTAAACCAAAGCGATCCCCCCTCCCCTCCCCTCCAGGCATGGTCAGTGCTGGACCAAGTACCTGGGTGGGCACAGTTGAGAGAGGGAGACATCCCCCACCCTCTCCTGCCCAGGTCTCTGTAATGCAAGCCAGGTTGGCCCCCTCATCCACGATCAGGTTGTGGATGAGAGATGACTTATTATGGACCGACCTGGCATTAAGCAACAGCATCAACAGGCCTGGGGGGTGGTTGACAAGCCTACCTGGAACCCGCCGGCTGGGGGAATAACCAGAAAGAGGAACAGGTGTTAACCATCTGTCCCTCCTTCTTCTACGTGGACTCGTTAAACCCCCAACACCATAACGTCCATTGCCTGTAACCACCCCAATGGCGGCGCCCACGTGCTCCCCAGGCAACCCCATAGTCAAAGCCGGAGATGAATCCATTAAAACAAACTAAAAACACATTAAAACACTTAAAAACACCCCCACAATCCCCTCAGCCCAATATAACCAGTCCCACCCGCTGGCCAACAACAAAGACCCTGGCCAGCCCAGCCCCCGCTTGGCCCTGAACAGTCCCAAATGGCACCACCACCCTTAGGCCGATGCCCTTCAGCCGCCGGCCCCGGTCGCTGCCGGCGAGTTAAAGGCCACAGCCCCTCCCCCGCGCCCCGCCCCCGGACCGGTGCAGCTCTCTCCCACACCGGACGGGGGTGGGCAGGAGCAGGGCCCACGGAGCGCTCGCCGGCAGGATGGTGGGCCTGCAGGCCGGCAGCATCCCAGCTCCCAGTCCCACGATGGCGCCATCCTTGCCTTGGGGCAGCGGCGTCCTCAGCGGGCATTGGGGCTCCGTTCAGCCGCGGAGGCGGCGGGTCTTGCGGCGACGGGTCTTGCAGCGGCGGTGGTGGGCCATCTCTCCCTTCACACTTTGCTGTGTGCTTCATAATTGCGGTAACACACATGGCCATTCAAGGGGGCCAAGAAGAGCATTAAGTCCAGGATTTAAGATGCAACAAAAAGCAACCTGTCAGATGTGAAGAGGCTGATCATTGTAGCTTCAGCCATAGTGGGAAAACTAACATGGGTGCCTGGGAGACTCTAGAGCAGTGATGGCGAAACTTTTAGAGACCGAGTGCCCAAACTGTAACCCAAAACCCACTTATTTATTGCAAAGTGCCAACACCACAATAAAACCTGAATACTAAGGTTTTGATTTAGAAAAAAATAACTCACAGCCAGTCCATGCAAATATATATATATATATATAATATATATATATATATATATATCCTTGGCAACGCACTGACCAGCCATGCGAAAGCTCGGATAAGTCACAGCTAATGAGTGATGTCATTGCCTGGCATGGCTACTCCTTTCTGAGCAAGCGCA